AGTGAAGTGAAGTGAAGTGAAGTGAAGTGAAGTGAAGTGAAGTGAAGTGAAGTGAAGTGAAGTGAAGTGAAGTGAAGTGAAGTGAAGTGAAGTGAAGTGTAGTGTAGTGTAGTGTAGTGTAGTGTAGTGTAGTGTAGTGTAGTGTAGTGTAGTGTAGTTAGTGTAGTGTAGATTTTCTTAGTTTAGATTACTTTTAGTCATTTAAGGTAGATTTTTAGTAAGAGTCGAGTGCAGCTTGTATATTTTTTTACCGGCTGATTGTGGCTTGTATCTCTCTTTTATCAGGTGAGCGTAGTTTAATGAACCATTTGAGGGTAGTTTGTATCAGTTGAGTGTAGGTTTTTAGATTTTTTTTCTTTCTGTGTGTGAGGAATGAGTTTTCGCCACTTTTTGACGTATTTATGGGAGTTTTTTTTGGATATAAATTGTTTTAGTTGTAATAATTATTTTGCATTACCTGTAAGATTTAGAGAATTATGTTTAGTAGATTGTACTAGTTTGTTTTCATGAGAGATTGTGTTTATTACTTGTTACATTACATTTCTGCAGAGTGGAAGCATTGCTCCAACCCAGGGCTAATTTCAAATTCTTGGCCAAATACTTTCAAGGTGCGTACTTTTTGTCATTAAATGAGAGCATGTATTGTTAAATATTTAATTGAGATCTAGATTATCTAGCCGTTGGTTTTCTTTCTATTTCAGAACGGGACGGCCCAAACTACGGACTGGGCTTTATGGGGCCTCCTGGACCGCCTGGACCAAAAGGTATGTTGTCACAGCGGTTATTACTTGAGTGGGGAATATAATTCGCAATGAATTAGGTTTTGTATTACCCCGCTCATTGCATGATTGGCTAAAAAAATCGCGCCAATTTTTCATCAAGTCAGATAAAAAAACCCGAAACCGATCTTGACTTTTTCGCAAAAGTGTTCCTGCGCTTTGCGTTGGCTTCCTGTATTTGTCGGTTTTATTGCTAAACTAGATGTTCTGTTTTTTCTTTGTGATTGACCGGAGTGATTACTGTAGCTCTGGGTTTACTTCATTCAGGTAAAAACTGCTGCAATAGTAGTAGTTATCAACGTTATTCTAGAGCTGCATATACAGTGATCAATTACCATTAACCAGTAAATCTTGTAAAAAGGAAGCTGGTGCAGCTGTGAAAAAAGTCGCAAAAGTTGCATAAAAATTAAGAAGCGGTTAAAATCTTCCATATTAGCTGAATGAATGTCTAGGAGGAGTAAAGCCCATCCCGTCCCTTCTTAGGATGAAAATTCAACATATTTGTTTGGATAATGTAAAACCAGTAACATAAGTAGTACATTTTATATACAACGACACTGAAACGTTGAGATACCAACCACAATTGAATATCGTAGGATCGAGAACCACGATTAAAAAGAACAAGGACATGATTAAGGAATTAAGGAAGTGAGGAATTAAGTAGCTAGTTGAATTAATTTCGCAGGAGAATCAGGAAAGTCTGGTGTGAATTATGTGCGCTGGGGAAGAACCACATGTCCCAGTGGTGCTGAAATTGTTTACAAAGGTAGGAATTAGCTAATGTTTCAAACATTTTAATCTGTAATGGCTATAAATGAAAAGGAAAGAAGACTTTTTTTAATCTTGATCTTAGGAATGACATGTGTTTAACATTCACCCCACCAACTGAACCACTGATGACGCAATAAAGTATATCGCTTTCTTACAAACCGTTCAAATTATGACCAGCAGACAGTACATTGCTGACCAGGAGCTGTCGTCACTTTAACATTAAATAATTATGAATTCGATATATTCACGGCTATCATAACAAAACAAATTGGTGCCAAAGGTAATACAATAAATACGTTCCCTGTGATAACAATGGAAAGAAAAAATGCCTCAGGAGGATAGCATAGGGAGGGGGAGAGGTCAAAATCCCGTTTAATGCACGAATTTAAAAAAAAAATACCACATATGAGTTTTATTTTGAACAAGAGATGTTTTTCGTAAATTCACGAATCATTCTTGTCGTTTAGCTGGACTTTAGTTACTATTATTTTTTGTTCTTATCACTCATCGCGCATGAGCCCTTTCTTACCTTCCTAGGTTTGCGGCTTTGTACTGTAATGATTCCGTCTTGTTAATCCGTTAGGCATAATTGGTGGTGAGCATTACAATCACCAAGGTGGTGGAGTAAATTATCTTTGCCTTCCACTCAATCCAAAGTACGACAAGTACAAAGATGGAGGGCAGGGCTCGGGATACGTGTATGGCACTGAGTACCAAGTCAGCGGTTTCAACCCATTTAAGAAAAATCTCCATGACTATAAGGCACCGTGTGCTGTTTGCTTCGCCAAGTCACGTGGCTCAATGCTAATGATGCCCGCACGGAATGATTGTCCATCTGGCTGGACCGAGGAGTATCATGGGTACCTGATGACTGAACACCACAGCCACAAGAAACAACGGGACTACATATGTGTTGACGAGGATGCAGAAGATGTCGCTGGTGGTAAGGCCAAAAAGCATGGTGCTTTGCTGTACCCCGTTGAAGGACAGTGTGGCCCACTCCCGTGTAGTCCATACGTTGCCGGAAGAGAGTTTACATGCGCTGTCTGCACTAAGTGACAGAAAGTGACCATTACATTGGAAACCTAAAGGATACAAGACGAAGTTTTGAACATATAATTTCATAGACTCTCGTGATTAACATAACGTAAGACAAAAAGTACACCATAATCGAAATTTCGCTCTTTCAGTCAAAGGTATCGAAGTGGAGATCATGATGTACATAAATGTAGCGCATTAATCATAGTAACAACAATAAATTGCCGCAAACCATCATTATTTGCTCCATGCTGTTCAGTGTCATATCGAGAGACCTTGATATCGATCCAATTAGCAAAAGTTACGAAATTAGTTATACCTCTAGCTGACTTCTTCATTGAGGATCCTCGCTATATTTTCAGCAATTTAGCACGAAAGACATGTTAAATGTTGCCACAAATAGCGTTTTCTTGAGACAAACCCAAACTCAAACAACTAAGTAGCAGTTACTATCGATAAAAATGAACACCATGTCTGTAGTCTAGAAGATGCTATATAGAGGAAAATCTTAGTCGACACGGGCACAGATGTTTCGTTCTATTAACCTTGTCCTGATCGTCAACGGGAAAGATTAGAAACTTTTCTCAATTGTACAGTTTTTATCCTCCAAAGAAAAGCTCGAGCAAATATAATTGACCATTATATTTTAATTTTTCCTCAACACTGCCACAACATTACCTGGCCACAAAGTCACTGACCGTATAGGGCAAAAATTGTGGCCGAAATTGGGTAAATACCTAGGGGCTCGCATATTACACAATCTAAAGACAAATTCCCGGTACATTAATAGAGGTGGGAAGGGGTCAAATATTGTCTTCACTTTCGACGAGAGGAGCTTGACTTTGAACATCCGTGGCTGCTACCTCTATTCCCTCCCCCGGGAAGGGACCCTCTTCATCTGTTACAGACATGCTTGAAATGGCAGGGGACTGTAGAGCACGTGCCATTTAGGTTGGAAAGGTTTCATGTGCCTCTGTTTGCGGCCCCCGTTGTAAAAACACTGCGGTGGGGTCCATTGGAAGAAAATGGATTCTCTTCTTTGCGTGCCGCACACGAAACATAAAATATGGTTAATTAGTGCTGGGTGTCAATAACTGACCAATCAACAGTCTTATTCACCCGGGCTTTCTGTCGAAACTCAAAATCGTACATGGCCCACGCTAACACTTGGACGCCAGCTGCATACCTAATTAGACTAACACACTGCACCACTTCTTGCGATCGTGTTGAGAACTTCTGGGTCAGCACACTCATATAAGACGTAAATGCAGTTGTCCCCTGCTAAATAGGGACCTTGGGGAAATCACGACGATTTGGGAGAACGAGAAATGCTGTGGGAACACGAACCGTTAGGCGAGTTTCCAAAGCACTTTCGAGTTCTCCCAAACTTTCAGGATTGTTCCTATTAGCCAGTTAGATTATGAGCTCGAGATTTCTATCGCGTATTAGTAGAATTCTACAAGTATACTAATGCAAATGGTGTAATCTGATTGGCTTTGCCATTGCACACTATCAGCCATTAGTGTACAGTGGCTGGAGGTCGTCTACGAAATGGTGTCGTTTTTTCGTTTTTCCAAAGATTTGGGGGAAAGTTTTGATGCAAATGGATAGTTAAATTCGTGAGAAGACTAAACGAAGGACATTTATGGTTTCTTGACTTTAAAAAAAGTTGAAATTATTGAAATACTGATGCGCGCGTGCACAAACTTCAATTTTAAAAGACAATTCAATTCCCGCGATCTTTCCAAGGCGCCAAGTTAAATAATACATCGCGAAATAATTGGAAACCATTGTTTGAAGTAAATTTTAGTAAGAATTCTACTAAAACAATTAGATTACTCGCTCTCGATTTCCATGAGGTGATAGTTGATGAGGCCTTCGGCCTCATCAATTATCACCTCATGGAAATCTCGAGTTCATAATCTAGTTGTTTTAGTACTAGTTCAAAACTTTTTTAGTTTTTGTTCAAAACTTCATCTAAATCCTCTTAACAGACACTTCGTAAACGTCAAGCTCCTTACTCTGTGATTAAAGTGGAGGCCGTTGGTTTTGCTGTTCTCTCTAGCCTTTAAATTCATAGTTATCGATAAGACGAGGTTATCCTTGTGGTCGTACAGTGACAGCTGCAGGTTATTAGGGAGAACTTTAACAAATTAAAAAAACTCACCGGTCACCTTTATATATTACGCCGGAATATCCTGAAAAGGTGTCGTGAAGCTTATTGCGGCAGTGCTTGTGGTACTCTCTATACCAGGCACACACAAAGCGGACAGTCGGGCAGGAAGAGGCTTGGATGGCACTAACCGCGGCTTTAGACTCTCGGCTGGACTGCTACACGGTATCTTTGATTAGCCGTTGTATCGTCTGCATTTGAATGTCTGTGACGTCATGTCTTTGAACATTTGTTCAAGACCAGGTTTCATGATCACCAGCTTGGGCTGCTGTTTTGATATTGTTTCCGAGTGATGTTGTGTTCAAGTCCCGAAAACCGGCGTTCGAGCATATTATATTTCGAACCTCAGTCGACGGTATCCCGTGTGGCAGGCATAGAGAACGCAGATAAGCAATGGATGGACTCCGCATACGGTTGGGTCAATTTGCTCTGAACCTTGAGGGAAGTCGACCGCCGAGGACGGGTTCGTGGCGGTATGGTTTATGTGGTCCGAAACATCTCGGGATCGCGATACAGATTGAAGAGAACTGTACCCCAGGAATGCGAGCATGCGAACTGAACGCGAAGTAGAACAAGGGGAAAATCAGTGTCGTAGAACAAGTAAACTCTGAGTGTCTTAGAACAAGGCAATCCAGCTAGTAGGACGGGAAGAGTGAACACGAGACTCCCATTGAATGCCTGGAATTGATTGAAAGAGAAATGTAAAACCATTCCTGATTGGCTCAGCCTACAGTTTGCTTCACTAACGCATGTGATCACCACCAGACTTTGGACCGTGAAACCCTACCCTTTATCTGATTACTTCATATGTCACACAGCCCACAGTGATCGCTCATGGTTGTTACATTAAGTACAATTTATGTGGACATAAGTTGACCTATAAATTTGACCTTGGGTTGACTAACGAGCTTTTGTTTTATTTGTCTAAAACCTGGAGATGTTACGGGTAGGAAAAGTTGAGTTAACCACTGTTATTAGTGTTCTTTTGTTCGACAACTGGCGTAACGTAAAGAGTTTCATGTCGATCTCTGTAATCTCTGTGAAACGTTTGTAATCCGCGTCAATCTTCTCCATCCTTAACCATCCTTGTTTCTTTATGGTTTATTATTATATAACTCTTTGGTGTTTTTCTATCTTCAGTTGAAGACTGAAGACCAAAATAACTCAAAATACCGTGACTGAGCTCCTTTAAATTAAGGTTACTAAAATTTCATTTGAAGACCAACTGGAACCATCAAGGAACTGCTAAGATCGATCAAGCTCTACTCCATGTCAAGGGCATATTTTAAGCTAGCCATCTCATTACATCTTGTGCATGTGCATCCCCAAAAAAGCAACAGAAAGTGGCTCGTGTTGAAGCTTACAGTCAGTCCCCCACCCTACTTCACCTTTCAACAAGGGATTACCACTAACGCCTATCATGAAAGGGCCTGGGTTACCTTTGGC